CCCAGCACGGGCTCCCTGCGGCCCCGGCGCCGGCCCAGCCTGGAGCAGGAGGATACAGCCTCTCTGCTGTCCACCGGCACCCTGGTGCCTGAGAGCATCTACCTGCCACCCCCTGGCTTCCAGCTGGTGCCTGACAGAGAGTGGGCGCAGCTGCAGCTCGAGGTGAGACTGGGGAGTTGTGCCGAGAAGAAGCACAGGGGATTTGTCAGGGGCCAGGCAACACGCTGCGCTCGAGTGTAGAACGTGAAAAGCAGCGTGTACAGACACGCGCACGCAGACACAGGCACGTGGATGTGCAGGCAGATGCGGACATGCACGCGGACACCTGCACATGCAGGCATGCAGACACACGCACGCGGTCATGCAGGCGCACATGCAGGCACGCGGACACGCACGCGGACACCCGGACATGCAGACATGCACGTGGACACCCGGACACGCAGACACACACGTGAAAACCCGGACATGCAGGCGCACATGCAGGTACGCAGACATGCAGGCGCACATGCAGGCAGACAGACACATGTGGACACCCGGACATGCAGACGCACATTGTGACGGCGCGTTGGGGGTCCCCCGTCTCCTGCACCCCGAAATGGCACAAACAGACTGCACCAGCCAGTGGAATAGAGGAAGTTTATTGCCTCTCCAGGATATAGCCCAGCACAGATGGAATCTGGTCACAGAGCTGGGCTAGGATGCCTCAGGCCCCCTTGAGTTGGGCCTCAGCTGGGCCCCTAAACTCCAGCCCCTCTCCCTAGCCTGTCTCCTCCATGCTCACAGGCAGCCAGCAACCCACTAACCCTCTTCCAGCCCTGCCCCCCAGCCAGGGCAGCATTCCACCTTCCTTTGTTCCTCTCCATGGGGGTGTCTGGCCACTGGTTTGCATAGTGACTCATCCTGTTTTGCTGGGTTGTGTGCCCCGGGGCAGCCAGTGGGGGTTACCCCAGAGCCAGCAGCATAGGAACCAGCCAGGTACCCCCACTACGTCACACACATATAGACACGCACACAGGCACGCAGACGCACATGCAGGCACACAGACATGCACGTGGACACCCGGACATGCAGGCGCACATGCAGGTACACAGACATGCAGGCAGACAGACACGTGGACACCTGGACATGCAGAGGCACATATAGACATGCACACAGGCACGCAGACGCACATGCAGGCACACAGACATGCACGTGGACACCCGGACATGCAGACGCACATGCAGGCACGCAGACACACATGCAGGTACGCAGACGTGCATGCGGACATGGAGATGCACATGCAGGCATGCAGACAAGCATGTGGACACGCAAACATGCAGATGCACATGCAGGCACGCAGGCACCCATACATGAAGACGCACATGCAGACACGCATGCAGACATGCAGAGTCACATGCAGGCACGCAGACATGCACGCAGACACCCGGACATGCAGATGCACATGCAGGCACACAGACACACCTGGACATGCAGACGCACGTGCAGGCACGCAGACACAGACAAGCAGAGGCAGACACGCATACAGACAAGCAGATGCGCAGACACATATGCAGACATGCACACGCAGGCACAGATACAGCCGCAGGCACACAAGCAGATGCAGAGATGCACGCACACAGGCACACAGAGATGCAGACAGGCATGCAGACATGCAGATGCAGATTTGCACACTCATGATGACGTAGGCACACAGATGTAGAGAGACAGACGCAGACGTGCACACACGCAGCTGTAGATACACATGCGGACATGCATGCACGCAGCTGTAGATACACACATGGACGTGCACGCACGTAGCTGTAGATACACATACAGACAAGTGGATGGGGACACAGATACACAGACAAGCAGACGCGGACGTGCACACAGCTGTAGGTACACAGATGCGGATGCAGATGTAGGTACACATGCAGACAAGTGGACGTGGATGCAGCTGTAGATACGGACATGGACGCAGCTGTAGATACACAGACAAGCAGACACAGACGCGCATGCAACTGTAGATACACAGACGCGGACGCAGATGTAGATACACGCAGACAAGTGGATGCAGATGTAGATACACACATGGATGTGCACGCAGCTGTAGATACACAGACAAGCATACGCAGATGTAGATACATACTCAGACAAGCGGACGCACACACAGCTGTAGATACACACGCGGATGCGCACACAGCTGTAGATACACGCAGACAAGCGGATGCGCATGCAGCTGTAGATACACACACAGACGCGGATGCAGATGTAGATACGCAGACAAGTGGACACGGATGCAGCTGTAGATATGGACGCAGACGCAGCTGTAGATACACACGCAGACAAGCAGACGCAGATGTAGATATACATGTGGATGTGCATGCAGCTGTTGATACACAGACGCGGACACAGATGTAGATACACACGCAGATGCAGATGTGCACTCAGCGGTAGATACACACAGATGCGGATGCAGATGTAGATACACACGCGGACGTGGACGCAGCAGTAGACACACACACAAGTGGATGCGGATGCGCACGCAGTTGTAGTTAGACACGCAGACAAACGGATATGCGTGCCCATGCAGGCATGTGGACATGCACGCAGACAGACGCTGCTGCCCACGCGCAGACGCACGAAGATGGGCACGCAGACACAGATACCAACGCACATGCAGAGACACGTGCCCCTGCAGATGATTGGCAGTTACTAATCTGTTGTGGCTCACCTCGATTGGCTGGCCAGTTAGCTTGAACAGGAGTGAGGAGCTGGGTTCTGTCAGGTGTGATTTGAGACTCCCAAGTTGCAGGGCTGACGGCAGAGTCCCAGGGCCAAGCCCCCCTTTTGATGCGCCTGTGCAGTTCCCAGAGGAGTCGCTGGGCCTTGCGGCGTCAGGCTCCGTGTCTCCAGGCTGTGCCCCACTCTTAGGATCTCTGCTTGTCTCCAAGGTGCGTCAGTGCTACTAACTCAGTTTTAGCATCCAGCACAAGGGATGCTTCCTGCGGATCTTCAGGGTTCCCACTGCACTGGTGGTGGCTGTCACACTTCTCCTGAGTAGCACAGGTGTGCTCCGCCCACACCAGTCTGCCTGCTGAGAATTCCCTGTTAAGCGCTGTCATGGAGTGTCGGGGGTCCCCACCCGCAGCCAGAGGGGACTCAGGCGGCAGGTAGAACAGAAGATTTGTTGGTTCCCAGGGACACAGCGCAGCAGAGGATCAGTGTGAGCTCGGGGACCAGGAGCAGGAGCCTCATTCGTCTGGGGGCGGGCGGAAGGGGCTCATGGACCCTGAACTCCCCCTTTCCTGCTCCAAGCCTCATCTCTCATCCTAGCCCAGCCAAGACTGACTCTTCCCACAGGCCCTGTGCCGGGCCGGGTCTGGGCACCGCTCAGGGCGAATTGCTCTAAACCAGGGCTCCCTACAGCCCTCGACTGGAGACCTTCCACACAGGCCACACGCCAGTCCCACCGAGCGCTCCAGCTGCCAGTCCGGCCAGCAGGAAACCTCCTGAGCAAAACCCCTCCAGGTGAGGGGTTACAGAACCCTATCTCACCAACTCTGAACAGATCTTCCTGGTCCCAAAGAACCAGTCACAGTCCCTGGTCAATGTACACTTTAGATCTTACCCACAAGAGCACGCTGAGCCAATTCTTTAGAATCTAAAATCTAAAGGGTTATTAATAAAAGAAAGAAAAGGTTGAGAGTAAGATTGTGAAGCAGAATACATTACATACATCAATTACCAAGTTCCTGACGCAGGCGCTCAGCAGAGATGTTGCAAACGGCCAGCTTAGAAGTCCCTGGTGTCCATCCTGTATCAGGACGGGTCAGCAATCCTTCGCGGCTCTGTCCCTCGCAAGGCTGCATCTGGGATCAGTAGCAAGATTGAAGACAAGATGGAGACGGAGTTTTAGATCTCTGGGGTCTCCCAAACTGGAGCTGGTCACATGATCAAGCGCCCTGTCTCTGTCTCACGTGCCAGGAGCCATGAGGCACTGGCCATTCTGCAGGTTTCCAGACGCATCCCTCAGGTGTGAATTGGCCACTCAGAGCCAGTGTCCATGCAGCAGTGCGAGGTAGCACAGCCAGTCACTGAACAAGCCTTCCTGACTACAGGCAGTCCAGGCCCATTGCTGTCTCAGCCAGAGAGCGTTCCCAGCACCAGCAGCGAGCCCATATGCATGACTCCACACACAGACATCGCACGCGCACGCGTAGCACACATAGAATCAGCAGAACAGAAGCTTTCGTTGGACACCTCCCATGGCCCCTCTGTACCGAATCGGGGGAAACGCCCCCCAGGCTGCACCAGGGATCTGTCTGCTCCCCTTCAAATCCAGTGACGTGACAGGCCAGACCCCCCAGCCTAGGGCAGACCTGCCTATCCTTTGTCCCCCCACCCAGCCAGGAGGAGTTCTCTCCTGTGTCTGGCCCAATACACACCTGGAGCGACTCATGCCCAGCCTCTACCCCTCATGCAGAGTGTGGGGGTGGTGCTGAACAGAGGTACCCGTACACACACACACAGTGAATATACCGACACCCCCACTGCAACAAGCGCCCTCTCACAGAGCTGGGGGTGGTGCTGAACAGAGGTACCCATACACACACACAGAGTGAATATACCGACACCCTGACTGCATCACAAGCGCCCTCTCACAGAGCTGGGGGAGGTGCTGAACAGAGGTACCCATACACACACACAGAGTGAATATACCGACACCCTGACTGCATCACAAGCGCCCTCTCACAGAGCTGGGGGAGGTGCTGAACAGAGGTACCCATACACACACACAGAGTGAATATACCGACACCCTGACTGCATCACAAGCGCCCTCTCACAGAGCTGGGGGAGGTGCTGAACAGAGGTACCCATACACACACACAGAGTGAATATACCGACACCCTGACTGCATCACAAGCGCCCTCTCACAGAGCTGGGGGAGGTGCTGAACAGAGGTACCCATACACACACACAGAGTGAATATACCGACACCCTGACTGCATCACAAGCGCCCTCTCACAGAGCTGGGGGAGGTGCTGAACAGAGGTACCCATACACACACACAGAGTGAATATACCGACACCCTGACTGCATCACAAGCGCCCTCTCACAGAGCTGGGGGAGGTGCTGAACAGAGGTACCCATACACACACACAGAGTGAATATACCGACACCCT